CTCCTATTATACGCAACCGCAACTGCGGCTTCGCAACCGCAACCCCGCAACTGCGGGCTATCCTACACCGCAACATGCACTCCATCGCTAATGGGATGCACTACGCAGGCAGCAGGCGCCCAGTAGTACCGAGCTCTGTTCCGCAACTGCGGCTCCTCGGTCTTGCCGCACTCACCGCTCGTCCGCAACTGCGGCAGATCGCGCCTCTTCGTGCTTCCGCTTGCTCGCCCGACTCTGGCGTCCGTGGCCGACGAAGACGACGTTTTGGTGGATGCCCTCGCACCAGTGCGTGCTGAAGGTCTTCTCGTTGAGCTCCTTCTGAATGACCTTGCCGATTGGGGGCAGCGCTGCCAAGCCGAGCTTTCTTCTGACTCCGCTACTGCGGTCAGGGTCATCCTCCCACTTGGGCATGTACTTCGCTGGGACCCAGCGCCGAGAGATGATGGAGTCGCTTGTTCGATGCATCCAATCAGGGAGCCACTGGGGATCGTTCTTCGACGGCCTCCCTGCAGAATCCGTGTTGTAGTCCGCAATGCGCACGTCGCACGGGCCAATGGGGAGGACGTAATTCGGATGCATGACGCGTGTGCCCTCCACAAGGCCTCCGAACAGGGCGGGTCCAGCCCTGAGCACCACCCCCATCGGGCAGGTGTAGCTGGCTCCGCAACTGCGGCCAAATGCTTGGAGCTGCTCAGGCGGGATGTCAAACAGGCCGCACAAGAACCGCACATCATTTTTATGGATGGAAGCAACCGCGTCCTTGAAGAAACTTGGATGCCACGCTGTTTGTTCTGATTGCGTGATCTTCTGTTGGAGACGTTCGGTGACTGCGTGTCTGGACACGACGGCAAAACGGATCACCGCGGCAGGATTCATGTCGGAGCCCTTCAGGCGAAAGCGCAGGATCGTGACGGCGTGGGTGGCCCCAACAACATGACCCGCAACTGCGGTCTCTGCGATGATGTGCGGGCGCACGAGCACCACGCCCGTGTCTCTGAACAGGCCAACCGTCGTCCAGTAAGGCTCCGCGGTGTTGTTTTTCAAAGTGACAGCGTCTTCGACGGCAGTCCTGAGTCCAACGGGAACGTCGTAGCTGCAAGCGCCTTCGACGTTCCCCGTGCGGAACAGCTCGGGGTCCCATACGACGAAGACGACCGCCGCAGTTTGGTGCAAGATGCACCTGAAGACATCTTCCTTTGTTGCCACCTTCGTGATGACCACCACGTTGAACACCAAAGCGATGGTGGACGGAACCCGATTGCCGTCTGCTGTACGAAGGAATCCTTCGTTCCACTTGGGGCGTTCCCCAACGTAGTTTATCCCTGGAGGGGACCTGGTCCGCTGCTTCTTCCGCGGTGCTCCCGCATCTTCCCGCAACTGCGGTTCCGACGGAGGCCCCGCGCGACCCCGCGACTGCGGTTCTGACAGCGGCGAGCCTTCCGTGGGAGGCGGCCTTTTCCTCGGCCGCGAATCGGCCGAGGCGATTGTCTCGGCGGCTTTCTCCTGGGAGGCGGCCTCGTCTTCGGGTTGGGCGCCTCGTTTGGACTCGGCTGCGAGCAGCACGGCCGAGGGCGCGCTGCTCCCAGATGAGCCGCGCGCGGCACCTGGCTCGCCGGCCACCCCCGCAACTGCGGTCTCGGTGGCGGCTCCCGTCACTGCTGGTTGGTCCTGCTGCTTCGTCGGCGTCTGCGCCCGAGGCCCCCATTTTGCCTTGGGGGTCAAGTGCGCCCTGCGCAACTGCGCCTCTTCGCGCCTCCCACCAGCAGAGCTCCCACTCGCAGCGCTTATCGGCGGCGGCGGCCGATATTCCCGCGAGGAGCTAGACGACTGCGGGGAGGCCTCGCGCGGCGGTCGCTCGGGGCTTCCGCAACTGCGGTCCTCCGTCGGCTCCGCGACTGCGGCATCCGCGGCAGCCCCTTGCAGGCCGAACCTTTCCCGCAGTTGCTGCTTCAGCTCGGCGAACCGCTTGTCGACCTCGGCTTTGCGACCTGGGTCCATGGCGTGGCCGCGCGCGGCCCCCGTCCGACGGGGGAACTGCGGCCGGCTTGGGAGAGGAAGGACAACGAGGGAGACGGCGGGGATGAGGACGAGGAAGGCGAAGAGGAGGATGGAGAGGACGCGACGGAAGAGGATGGCGCGAAGAGCTCAGACGAGGGTGAAAGGAGCAAGGGGACTGCGACGAGGATGACGGGGCAGAAACGGAGGAGGAGGAATCAACAAAGTCCGCAACTGCGGCCCTCGGGGGGGACTGCGACGAGGACGACGGGAAATGACTCGGCCAACGGAGGCGGGCTACGGCCAACGGAAGGAACTGCGACGAGGAGGAAAGGCGGAGGGAGGAGACTGCGACGAGGACGACGGGGAAGGGGCGACGAGGACGACGAACAACTGCGGATCCATCTGTTTAAGTACCTGTCTCCGCAACTGCGGCCGCGCTAATTAACGTCACGAGTGCTTCAACGGAGGTGATGCGCGCCCGAAGCACCTAATTACAGCGGTCAGTCGTGGGAGCGCCGCAACTGCGGCCAAGCTGTATGAAGTCGCTAGAAGGCAGCGCCGCAACTGCGGCCGAAAGCGCGCATAGTGAGTCAAACGAGCGCGG